ATGTGGTCCAGGAGCAAGAACATCTCCCCATCCCAACTTGGAGCACATCCAGGATCACTGTCGGCTGCTGTTACCATTCATGGGGTTACTCAGAGGATATCCCCCACTTTTGGTAGGATTTGTCCCTTTCCAGAGATAACTGCACCCCACAAGACTCTTGCTAGAAGAAGGTGACAATGGCATTTCCAAGCAGGTTTCAGAGAGGAGCTCGGAGAATTAGGCAGGGCTGAGCAGGGTCCTTGGGTCATCAGCAGATGCCAGTCCAGCTGCAAGTCACCGGGAGGACCCTCCACAAGACACCTGACTCCTCTGGGTATCTCAGCCCCCAGTCACATGGAACAGAGGAGGCCACCAAGCTGACCCAGGGGCTGGAGCAGCTCTGCTGCGAGGACAGGCTGAGGGAGCTGGGGGTGTTCAGCTGGAGAAGAGCAGACTCCGGGGGCACCTTATCCCTGCCTGCAGTGCCTGAAGGGACCTACAGGGAGGCTGGGGAGGGACTTTGGACAAGAGTGTCCAGTGACAGGACAAGGGGAAATGGGTTTAAATTGAAGGAGAAGGGGTTCAGATTGGATCTTAGGAAGAAGTTCTCCAGTGTGAGGGTGGCCAGACTCTGGACTAGATTGCCCAGAGAGGCTGTGGCTGGCCCCTCCCTGGGGATGTCCAAACCCCCTCCCTGGAGACGTTCAAGGCCAGGTTGGATGAGGCCGTGAGCAACCTGGGCTGGTTAAGGGAGTCCCTGCCCATGGAACTGTATGATCTCTGAGGTCCCTTCCAACCTAAGACATTCTGTGATTCTGTGAATAACACCTGTTTCCAACAGGAGGATCTCCATTCCCATCCTCTTTGTAGCACCAAGTACTTTTCCTTACAAACCAGCGCTGTGGGGCATTGCAGGAGACCTCTCTCACACCACACCAGGACCAGAATTTTTCCTGGGACCCCAGACTGGATTTTTTTCCTGCCTTGCTGATCTCTTGGGGCAATGTGAGTTAATTCTGCTGGACCTCAGTGGGTTTCGAGAGTTTAAAGTGGGTTTTTCTCAAGATACGCATTATCCTCACCTCCATGCTTCACCCAGGACCATGCCACCTCATCCCCATATTTCCCAAAACTGCACTCTTCCACAGGTTTCTTTGCTTGTGTGGGAGAAGAAAAGCCCCCAGAGATGGGAAACCAGGCAGGGGAGCAGAGCAGTGTGAGCCAGGCAAACCCGTCCCTGCTGTAGGTGAGGTTTGTGAGAACTGCCCTGGAGCAAAACTCCACCAAGGTGCTGCACCAGCCCCGCTCTTCACATGGAAACCCATTAATTGCTGTTAATTAACACCCAAAACCCCACCAGGCATCCTTAGGGGGTGCAAAAACCTTCACATTTAAAATATCCTTGCACCAAGGGCCTGGCTGCCCTGAGGAGAGGGGCAAAAGCGTGTCTGTGCGATCCTGCAAAGTCCCAACGTTGACGACAATGCTGGTTTTGGGTGACTCTTGCCAGGCTGTCGGGTTCAGATTTCTGTTTTTTCTTCCCTCCCTCCTTTATTTTTTTTTTTCCCCTTCTGAATGGGGAGAGGCACCGCAGCCCCGTGACGTTGCCAGCTCCCTCTGATTTCATTTTAATGAAATCATGCCCAAACGAAGGCTCCACGTCTGGAGTTACGATTCGAACCCCGTGATCGCTCATTTTTATATATACACAAGGGAGGGGAAAAGCGTTTCCATAGAGAGAAAAAATATCACAGCCCTCTTAATAACAATAAAAGAAAAGCGAGGGTGCAGAAGTTCAGGGGAAGGCGCCTGATGCCTCTCTCCTCGGAGTGAGACCGCAACAACCCCTTCCCGTCCCGACCACCGAGGACTATCAGGTGAGTGCCTGGATTTCATTTATTAACCAGCAACCGGCTTCATTTGCTCAAACTTTAAATATTTCAGTGCTTTCCTAGGGAGATGAGTTCCCACGTTTTTCTGCAAGGAAAAAAAAAGGCAGGATAGGGAAAGGCAGATCAAGATATTGTGTTAAGAAATTCCCCCCTTCCTAAGCAAAGAAATATCTCTTTTTAACTCTTAGAGCAATTTTAGGAGGCAGATCAGGCTGGGCAGTGTGGGAAGGGTTTGGAAATCTTGGGGAATCACAAAGAGAGGGCACAAATCACTGCTGTGGTTAAAGGGATGGGGAGGAGAAGAGGGCACAGCTCAGTCCCCACCAGGGCACCTGAAATTTTGGAGCCCTGGGAATCGGCATCGTCAGGAGAGGCTCATTAGGAAGGCGGAGGCGGCATCAGGCAGAAAGAGTTCTAAAAGTCTACAGGTCTCATCCACAGTATTATTTTATTCCAGACTTACTTTTTGACGGGGAAACAAAATTTGCTTAATCCAGTGCTTCTGCTGCCTGTGATAACCAGCAAATAGGTTCCTCCTCCGTTTGCAGAACTGCCTTGCCAGAGCGATTGATTTTTCTCTTTTAAAGCCGAGAGGCAAAGCTTCAGCCGATACGAACAGGTCCTGCCGTGGCCATCGGCACCACCTCAGTATAACACCTGGAAATCACTCAAGGGCACCCTGGCAATTTCCAGCCGTAGGGAACGGCGCCCCTGATCATCCTCCAGCAGCGGCAGATTTAACTCCAGCTCCTCAGATCCGCCTCAGGTGGTCTTTTTTATTTTCTTTTCTTTTCGAGGGGGAGGAAGGAAAACCCAATTCCAGTGTGTTTTCTGGTCCAATCAAACTTTCTGGCATGCAGGGGCACAAAACAACCATAAAAACCAAACCAAAACAAAATATCAGCTTCTGCCGTCCGTCAGTGCAGCTAGGCACTGCAATTTTTTTTCTGCTTTGCCTTGATTTTTGCTTTGTTTGCCACGATATCCACCCCATGGCCGAGGAGCAGGAAAGCAGGTGCTGGGTGTGGATTCGTTTGATCCACATTTCCCCCTTTATTTTGCCTTTCCCCTTGCTCAGCCAAGGTCCCCAAGAGTTTTGCTATGTGGAATAAGCCCGAGCCACCCGTTATAGCTGTCGGGGAGATGGAGGTGGAGATGCTGCTTCACTCCCAGCAGCCGTGCCGGCTCTGCGAGGGCTTTAGAAACCGTTCCCATTCTCCATCCAGCAGCTCGGGGCCAACCCACGTGTCCCCGGGAGAGCAGGGGCTGCAAGGCAGGGGTGAGAAATTTAACAATTTCTAAATTCATGCCCCCCTCCTCATCCTGCTAGCTCGCGGTGGGGGGGACTGAAACACAGCTGCGAATAGGGAGGGTTTGGGGTAGGAGAAAGATTTTCATCCTGTTAAGCTTTTGCAAGCAAAAAAAAAATAATTCCCATATTTTCAACATCTAATTTTGGGCTGAAAGAAGGAGAGTTTCGAGTGTCTAATTGCCCTCTCAGGAGGGTTGTGTGCCTGGGAGCTCTGTGGGGTTTTTGTGCAGAGGTGAGCGAGAAGGGGAAGTCGAGCAGCTCCATCAAATCCTGCCTGATTTACCTCAATCTCCCCCTCAAGGGACAGCAAAGGGCAGAGTTTGGGGGATAAACCTTCCCAAACCTTCCCCTCTATGGGGCAGCGAAGGGCAGAGTTAAGGTGACAGCAGTTTTTAAGGACCGTAGCTCGGCGACAGAAGAGCAGGTCCAGGGTGACCGACCACTCCTGGGGACAAGTGATTTGGTTTGGGATGTTTGAGGACATGTCCCCCACCCTGCAGCCCCCCGTGCAGTGAGGCACAACTTCCATCCCCCCAAGGCTTCAGGGAGACCTGCCCTGCAAGAGCTTCACCCTTCCGCACTCCCAACCCCATGGGAAAGAGCTTAGGAGCTCACGGTCCCAAACCAGTGACGAAACCCCAGCCCCAGGCAGGGTCTCTGCACCCCTGGGGACTCTCCCCCCGGCCAGAACTTGCCGTACGACGCGCTTACCACAAGATGGGGCCCAAAGATTGGGAATGCCAGCATGCCTCCAGGCACTTGGAGGGGCCGTGTGCCTTCGGGGTTGGCCTTGGGGACACTTCTCTGACCTTGACATGGGCCAAGACTCCCAGCAGGACATCCCTCGTGGCCTTTTCGGTGGCTTTTTTGAGTGGTCAGGTGGGGCTAGAGGGAGTTGGGTCGCTTCTCCAAGAGACAGGACTCAGGTGGGGAGTTTTTTTGGAGAGCAGGAAGGTTATCCTGAGGTTTTCAGCTCTTTCAAGACCCAAAAAAATCCATAATTCAAGCAGGGAGTGATGCTGCTGTGCTGTGGATGTGCTCCCAAGGAGGGCTGTCCTGGGGTCCCAAATGTGCCCTCAGATGGGGCAGCCTGTCCTAAGCCCAGCGTGGAGGTAACAGGCAACCCTGAGCACCCAAGGCCAGGGCTGGAGCGGTGACGTGGAGCCATGACACTGGACAGGCATCAGATCATCCCTCCTGCGCCGGTGCTGACTGTCCTCCGCTCCCCATGCCCTTTTCAGAGTTGTGTGAGCAGGTGGACGGGCAATTTCTGGCTTCAATGAGCACAGAAACATCTCTGGTGGCTTCAGGCTGACCAGATTGGAGCTGAAAGGAAAACCCACCTTTACAGAAGCTGGTGGCATCTGTGCTTACTCCGTGGAGGTGTTAGCAAAGTGCAGAGGGCTGCCTGGGGACTGCAGTGAGATTGCCCCATTATAGAGGTACCTGTGGTAGAAACCAGCTCTCCTGCTGCAGGCATTTGTATTTCAGCAAAGGGAGGGCCAAATTCTCCCCTCCGTGGAGTCTACAGCCTTGCAAAACACCTTGGGCATCCCACCTCCCACTCAGGATCCCTAAACCAAAAGCTGGGGAGTTGCACCTTAGAGAAAGAGACTTTAAGTCAAGCCATTCCCACCTGCCCCAACCATTAGCTGGGATCGGGAGACCTGGGAGGTGAACCTGAGAGTGCAGGACCTGAGAGGGGAACCCAGGTCCGTGGGATGGGGGAGGATGATGGTGCTCTGCCCTGGGCCCCGCGGGAAGCTCACGCCCATCTCTGCCCTCCCCTCACTGTTCCCACCAGGCAGGCCACCGCAATGCCCCACACCAGGCTGCTGCTCCTCCTCCTCCCCCTCCTCTGTGCCACCGAGTCCGGCCAGGCTCTCCACCTCTACAACGCTGCCTCCATCTTCAGTTGCCTCAATGCGGCCCTCGCGGAAGCCCAGAAGAGCCACTTGGAAGAAAACACCATCCTGGACAAGCGTGGCTTCGACTCCCCATCACCGGAGGAGGCACCTGAAGAAGAGGATGTGGTGGATGAAGAGATGGGGAAAAGGACATTCCCGGGGGAAGGCCATTACAAATATGTCTCCCAGGCACAGGTGAAAGGGAAGACGTACCAAAACCGGGCCAAGAGCGACCGCCGCACCAAGGCCACCCTCCCCTCGACGTCCCCACCAACATCATGAACATCCTCTTCAACATCGCCAAAGCCAAGAACTTGCGGGCAAAGGCTGCCGCCAACGCGCACCTCATGGCCCAAATCGGGCGGCGGAAGTGACCCCCGCCATGGGGCAGGGGGGACTCAGAGCAGGGCTGGTTGTGTGGGGCCACCACTCGGCCCCAGCCTGCTGGCCAGAGGGGACTGATGGCCATGTACGATATCAGTGTTGTATATTTTTGACCCATAGAGCTACCTAACTTTCATATTTCTCCTTCCTCCTTCTCTCCGTCCCAATCTCCTCTGTCCCTCCTCCTGGACATTTCCATGCGTGCGGGGAAGAGGCTTGTGTCTGCAGCAAGGCAAGGGGGTGTGTTGCCTCGGGAAGGTCCCTAATTAAAGCTACAATCTCTTGAGTTTCCAATGTTTTGTTCTCTTGTCGCCTCCACTGGGTACTCAGATAGGTCTGTCTGGACTCGTAGCCTTTCCAAATCATCCCTTCAGCTCAACCTCATGGCCCTGTCCCCACCACGGTCCAGACCTCTCAAATCTTCCTACACAAGCTGTCCCTACACACAGTCATCATTGCGCTGGGAATGGAAAAGCAAGACTGGTCAGGGGACCCCAAGAGGGATTTCCAAGTTTCTCCTCCTGGGGTCTTTAGGCTGTCTTGCAACCACCTTTTTTCCCACCAGCACCTTCATCAGTCACAGCTGGGACAGCATGAACCTCCACGTTGACACGGCCCTTCACAGTTGTCCCTAGGCCATGGGCAGGCCTTGGCCAGGGCCACCTCACGGTCTCGGGTTAGTTTGGACCCCAGGACTCACAGGTGCTTCCCTGGCTGCTCCAACCACAACCCATGGGGTGTGTCCCTGTTGCCCAGTCTATCCCTGCCTGCCTTTTCACCAGTCTCCCTTTCCTGATAGGCATCTGTACTGGTTTTTCCACTGCTACAGCTTCACCTCCCCATACACAGCCCATCCCCATTCACTCAATCCCTTTCCACCCTCCACTGATCCCCAGCTCACCAAATCCCCAACCCTTCACCTTGTAGTATTTATCCCTTTCTCTAAATCTCCCTTTCCCTTCACCTCCCAGCCCAGCTTCAAGATGAAGCTGCATCTCTTTGTCTCCACCATGTAGCCCCCATGGGAGGTGGAGAGAAATTTGGCCTTTCTTCCCCAGGAGATTTTTGTCAAGAGCAACAAAGCAGCTTCCACCAGCCCCATTCATGTGTCCAGAACGTGGTCATAGGGAGGACTTCAGGTAGGACATTAGGAGGGGACAGGTCTCCAGTTTAAGGGTTGGCAGAGGGATCCACCAGCCTTAGCAGAGGCATAGCTGGAGGCATCTCCTCGTGGTCCCACCGGGCACCCAGAGGAGGCAACGCAGACAAATTCAGTCCCAGCGAGCCCATGCTCAGGTGGCCAAGGCTTCTAGCAGACCCACAGCTTGGAGATTCAAGATCCAAAGTCAGCTGAAGACTGAAAAGTAAAACCAAAATAATATACCAGGTCCTTCAGCATCTTCCCATTAGCCCAGGCTGGGAACTGGCTTTTCCAGCAGCTGCCGTGGGGATCTGCACCAGCCCTGGTTGGGGTCCCTTCCCAATACCTAGTTAGATGAGGGGAACACCTCAGCCCTGTGCCAGTGCCTGTAAATCAAAATATCACATGGCCAGGACTCACAGCAGATCTTTCTTCTGCTCCCTTAATTAACAATTAATGCTGAAGCAACACCATGGGAGCGGAAGAGCCCGAGGTGTTTGCTGGCACCAGGCCATGCTTGCACCTGCAAAGCTGAGACAGGGACAGCAGGTACCAGCTGATAAGGAGTGATGAAGAAAGCAGAGACCCTTCCTCACCAGCTGCATCCCTGTTGGGGAGACTCACTCACACCCAGAGTGGGCTTGGACAAACCCTTCCAAAATTAAACCTTCTTTTCAACCTCTGCCAAGCAAGACCAGGTGTTGCTTGATGGGGCTGAGATGCAAGTGGAGGTCAAAGGAGACAGATTTCCTGGGGAAGCTGGATGGAAATAAGAGCGCTGAAATCTCCATCAGAGGCCACCTGGGTCTGAGAGTGTGCAGAGCCAAGGCCACCATGATCATAAGGACACTGTGGCTGTCTGGGGTGATATGTGCGGTTTTGCAAAATCCAGGTGAGGATTCACCTGGAGTGAGGAGAACAAGGATTCATTTGAGGGCTACAAAGCTGACCCAGGGGCTGGAGCAGCTCTGCTCCGAGGACAGGCTGAGGGAGCTGGGGATGTTCAGCTGGAGAAGAGAAGACTCCGGGGGCACCTTATCCCTGCCTGCAGTGCCTGAAAGGACCTACAGGGAGGCTGGGGAGGGACTTTGGACAAGAGTGTCCAGCGACAGGACAAGGGAAATGGGTTTAAATGGAAGGAGAAGGGGTTTAGGCTGGATCTGGGGAAGAAATTGTTGAGTGCGAGGGTGGCCAGACTCTGGACTAGATTGCCCAGAGAGGCTGTGGCTGCCCCCTCCCTGGAGATGTTCAAGGCCAAGTTGGATGAGGCCGTGAGCAACCTGGGCTGGTTAAGGGCGTCCCTGCCCATGGCAGGGGTGGATCAGATGATCTCTAATGTCACCTCCAACTTAAGACATTTTATGATTCTATGATTCGGTCTTTCCTGCTGTCTCATGCAGGGATGAAACCCAAACTCTCAGTATCACACTTTTCATCCCCTGGTGCAACTTGAGGCTCCTGTAGAGCCAGTCTCCCTGTCATACTGTCTACATTGGACTCTAAAACTTGCATTTCTGACCTTTGGAACATCCTCTGTCAGTGACTTTCTTGCTTTCATTTATGCTGCATAGAAAACAAAACCATTGTCCATTTGCAATGCGATGGTCTCATCGGTGCCTCTCAGTCCTGGCCCTACAGCACGTGTTGTCCCCTCTCTTCAGAGCTGCCCCAAGTCTTCCAGGGCATCCAACTTTTGGGGCTCTGGTTGAAGAGAAGCCAGTGCTGCCCTAAAGCTGAGAGAGAACAGTTTTCCTGTGACGCCGTTGTTGGAGAAGCCATCCCACCCCCATGATGTCACCCACAAGGCAGGAGGCCCATCTTACAACTCCTGTCCATCGCCAGGAGATTCAATAGATGTGCTGTTTGCATTTGGAAAAGGGGGATGGAAAGCAGAAAGCACATTTCCAACTCTGAACGTTGAGAAGAAAGTCTTTAAAATGAGCCTCATTCTTTAAATACGTGAATTATTTAAAAAACAATAATAAAACCAGGTATTCCTCAAAAAAAAACAAAACACCAACCACCATACAAAGCTCTTTTCCTGATTTCACAGGAAGAGCTCTAAGACATCATGGGGAAAGTAGTTCTGAATTTATATTTAAAAGCCAACAAAACTCTCAACTACATGGGTCTGCAGGTGCAAGACCTTCAAAGCACCTTGATTACCCCACATTGTCACCCCTCCTGGAGGAGAAATACCTGAACCCTTTGCCAGCGGGCGCCTGCAAGAGGAGGGGAAGGAGGAGGGACCCACTACAAAAGGCCCAAGAGGGAGACAGTTAGGGTGCCCTCTCTCTTAGGGTGTGGTTTTGATCATGATGAGAAACTCAGGTGGTTTGGAGTCGCGGTGAGTAGCTGTGGGGTTTGGGTTTGCTCGCTGACAGTCATGGCTTGTTCCTCACAGTTCTGCAGGAGGCGGTTTTAATTTCTAGCTGGAGGAAGGTGTCTTGCAGTTGGCTGTGGGTTTCCTTGGGGCTGAAAGTGGTTGTGGGCTATGGAGGAGCACTTTGAGCCCTGGAGAATGGGCTCCTGGGAGTGTAGAACTTGTGCTTGGGAGCTGGTCTCCAGACTTGGGTTGGCCTTGCAAGGCTGGGGTTCAACTCTTCCTGGCCTGGGGAGGACTACCCTGCTGAGATGCCTTCAGACCTGCCTGTCCCTCTGCACCCTTTGAAGGTCTTGCTGGTGGCATCCAACACAAGACTCAGGTGCCCACAAGACTCAGCTGCTGTGGGGCTCAGGCAGACCTGGAGCAGCAGGTGAAGGTCTCCCCTCATGAAGACTGCCTCAGTGTCCCTGTTCTGGCCCTGGTGTGGGAGGTGGTTAAGGCTGTCCTGGGACTGTTTGTGTAGGAAGAGAAGTGCAGGGATGGCTGAGGGCTGACACATTAGATACCAGCCCTCAGGGCAGGACCTTCTGCTCTCATGTAGGACATTGCTGCCCTGTTCCTGTGCTTGATGGGGGTCCTCCTGTGCCAGGTTTCATGGACATAGTTGGAAAATTGCTGTGCTGGCCCAGTGTCCTGCCCAGGCCACAGCAAAAAGCAGGTGGTGAGAGCAAGCTAAGCCTTGGGTAAGCATATCTGAGATTTTTCTATATTGTAGCTTGGGGCTTCCTGAATTGGATGTGAGGTTTTTTCTCTCCTAGCAAGCCTCAGTGGAAGTCTCTAGTCTCTCTGAACCAAAAATCCTGGTTGTTGTCTATGCTAGTGGCATGGTGTGGGGACAACCAACCAGAAACCCAGGAGCTGAGTTAGCCCCATCTCCAGGAATCAGGGGCTGGAAAGTGGCCACCAAGGGTAGATGAGAGGAGAGCCACTTGGCTGCAAGGTCTTCGGGCTGACCAGCTGGGGTTGTCTTGGTTGGCTCCATCACCCCAGAGCTGAAGATGGAGTTATCTGTCTCCAGAACTACATCCCTACCAGATGAGAAGGCAGCTGGAGCTACAGAGCATGGAGGAGGTCTGGGAGGAAAGACCAACTCCACTTTTAGACAGAGCCCAGCATTGAACTAAAGGGTGAGTGTGGAGCTACAGTGTTCAACAAACACAAAGTGTAGTGCAACAGCCATGAACAGGATGTCTAGAGACTCAGTGCAGCATGGAGCCAGCCCTTCTCCTGTCCCACAGGCTTATCAGGGACACTTCAATACCTTTCCTCTGGAGTCACGCCATTGCATGGGCCTGGATCACTTTCTCAGGGCAAATTCCAACCCCAGCTCCAGATATACAAGCCCCTGGAAGATGCAGGACAGTTCCTTCACAGCAATAGTTATGGCTGATGAACCTCACAGGTGACCTACCCAGAGCACACCCTTCTCAGCATTTGCTAGTCTCCCTAAAGTACCAGCCATG